GCTTTTTTGTTCATTTGGTTGTGGATTAAGTCCTTCATAGACAATCACATCGCATCCAAGCCTCATTCCAATGCAATTATACTAAACCGCAGAATCCCGGTTTTAATATTGTTTATAGAAGCACAAATTATTGTTTAAAATTTAACAATTAAATATTTATTTTAATCATTCTTTATTAAAATTCAAACTTTAGAACACTTTGCTTGATTATTTATTGATAATTTGTTTTCTAAAGCTATAACCCTGAAGACAAAATACGATTTTCTAAGTTTTACGAACATATAGAAAGTTCATTTAGTGTAGAAAAATAAAATAAAAATGATTCTGACTACTAGTGTTTCGTGCACGCATGTCGTCCCGACGGACTATCATGACCCATATAAATATTTAATTTCAAGCATTTGTCCCACATTTATTCATCTAGAAACGCAAAGTTTGTGGTGCAAGTGGTCGAGGGGATGTACAGTACAGTACAGTAAATACGTCGAGCTTAGTATTATGCCCAACACGATTGAACGTTAGATTTTAGTTAATTCTCGTTTGTACACAATCAATAATCGATTAGTCGTGCGCATCTGGTCCTGGCGTATTTGTTGTCCGATGGATTATCTATAGTTCTGTTTGTTCAATTCGTCATGTTTTCAAACTATTTAACTCCTAAATGAAGAACAACATCAGTATATAAAATGGATTGAAACTAATTAATTAAAGTATACAACTATAGAGAAATGATAAATATATATTTTTAGCATAAGTATGCAATTTATAAATCCATGGATCGTCACTTCTAGAAACGCTGATTTAGGACCCATCCACGTTATGTGATAACCGGAAAGGCAGTTTCGAACGACCGTCGTAGGCTCGCACTTAAATCGATTGGAAAGAAGAATAAAAGCATGCCGGCGCGCGTCTTCCTAATATCTTCTATTTCTATATGCATTGTACTTGGAAATAATGTGCACAACCTAAAATAAAACGCAAGAGGTACGTATGGCACAGAATGTTAACACTGCATTAACAAGCATTGCATTGTCACAGCCTGGGGGATTCAGATTGCAGGAGGTTAATTTGAATGAAAATTAGCGTTCGTTCCTTATGTAAACCGAAAAGAAGAAGATGAGATGAAATGGTTTGTCTTTTCATTTCATATAATATTTCCGCAGACGGAATATATATAAAAAAAAATCTGGATAAAGATAAAAGTAGGTGGCTGCAATGGAAATGGCTATTATTGTGCAGAGCGGCGCGTGTTTTTATTCGACTTGCTTTTTGGCAGCTAGGAAAATCTTCGCGGTATTATCTTCGCTGAAACAAAACGTGTATTGAATTTTCCCCAACGAGAGAGAGAGAGAGCGGAACACTTTTCAGCAAGCTGAAATAACAATGAATGGAAGCGGAAAGTCCTCACTGCAGGACGGTGGCTTTTGAGGGTCACTGCATAATGGCACGTTCACATTTTCCTAGGGTTTACCCACATAAATGTATGGCATCACTAATGACAGTATAGATTTTCAAACTGATACCGTTGCATCACAGGCGATTATCCATTTTAAACATCGCCACCTCAAATCCAAACTACTGTTACATATAATACCACAAAACCCACACAAATCATTCACTGGAGCAATGTTATGTAATCATTATAGAGCAATACATGAAACATATATTTATCTGACAGTTTATTTAAAAACCAACATCATATGCTACATTTCATTTAATTTTTGTGCGTCCGCACTACGTTCGTATGTACATCACAGTAATACCTTTTTTTTAATATACATTTTTGTTATTGATTACGTAATTACTCTATGGAAATATACATGTAGTCATCTAATAAGAATAAACTATTTTCATTAAACATGAAATTTAATAACAAATGGTTAAAATTTGAGGCCGAGAGGCGAATATATCAGCCACAACTTGTTATGCTTCGAATCGTCGTAATGGAGTCAACCAAAATTAGTTATTAATTATTGTTATTTAAATCAAACGCGAATTTAGCTTCAATTGAATTAAATTAAACCATTAAATAATTAATGTCATTAATTATTGTCACCGTATTTACATTATGCTGACGAGTTAGAAATACTATGAAATATTAATATTTGCCAAAATCAATTGAAAATTAAATATTTGAACATTCAACATATTTGATTGCAAATAGATAGAAATTATTATTGATTATTTTATTACAAATATTAAAAAATAATATTAAGAAAATATTAATAGTAATTGTTTTGAATAATTTTCAATTTTTTTTTTGATGGATGAGATCAAAAATCCCAGGTGTATTACGCTTTGAATTATATCAATAAGAACATGGATTTAAGGTTATCTCAAGGAAATAATGCAGTTTAAAATATTATAAAACAAACAGGAAAGAAAAAAGTACGGATTTTATACAAACATTTTAAAACTTTAACAACCTGTATAAAAAAAGAAGTTTTTAACGACATATGTTTTATCTCAGAAAATAACCTAGCATTTTTATCCCTTGTTTAAGGATATCCTTTATAAACATGAAGAAAAATAAATATTTTTAATATAAATTTATAATAATAATCTTTAATAGTCACAATTGTAACCAAAGGGATATCAAGCTAAGTCTTTTCGCCCTATAAATTTATAAATAATCCAAGTTTTATAATTACACCATAAATTTAAAGTTAAAGAAAAATATTTGTATTTTTGTATAGTATTTTATTATTATTATTTGTGATAAATGATGTGAAAGAAACAAAAATACTTTTCTGAACGAGTGTAATTACGTGCATGGATCTATTGGAAAATATACGTCGCTTTAATATTCACGTAAAAAAATACGGTATTCCAGAAGGAATTTAAAGTCATTAGTTTCTTGTCTTGGCCTCATCCCTTTACTCGAGTTTGTGTTACAGCATCGAGCGTGGAGCGTGGAAAAGGGATGCAGGATTTATATTTCAGTGAAAGGAGATATTCGAAAATTTCCAACTCAAACCCTGTCTTCGGTTTGATCACAGACAGGGGCGCTTGGACATCTTATCCTACATTGTATTACGGAAATGTATTGAAATAATTGCATTCTGAAAAAAAAATGTACATTCGTATTGGAATCACTATCAAATATCAAGCAAATAAATGAAACTAATTTTTATAATTATATAAAAACTGACATTGTATTCTACATATAATTTAGTTTTTGTTACGTAAAGGTGTGTCCGCTCTATTTGTGACCATATTGGAATTGATGTTTCATAGATGTGATCGGTACTTATTAAGATGTACATGATTTGTTAGTTAAAATTTAAGAGATTTGAGGTCGTTAGTTATTTGGGTGTGAAACCAACTAATAAATAGTAATAATATTTTGAAATTATCTCATGATCACAGGGAAATGAATTTATGGGATAAGGTTTTGGGTGGCGACGGCACGCGTCGGCTGCGCCCTTATATTATGAAATTAGTTTGGCAAACATTCGGTAGGGATATTTCTGTAGTAATTAGTGGGAACTTTCGTGAGTGTTGGAGAGTACCGCTCATACACATGACGACTCCAAACCAGCTCCGAGCCCTTACGGCTGATTAGTTAAAGTTGCACAGAATTCAGGACTGTCCCGTCCCTTTCGGTGAGTGATGTGTCTACCATCAATAGTTATCAACATGTAGACTATACGAAATGAAGAAATATTTATCCGTCTGCACACAATATTACTTCGATGAGAAGTTCGGTTCGCCGTAAGTGCTGTCATCCTATCTACGTATGTTACATACTTATTGTGCGTGGAATATGAAGCCGCACTCATCTTATACAGATCTGCAATTGTAAATTAGGTGACTGCACACGAGTGCCTTAAGTGGCACTTTTCATAGTCCTAGCATATCATGAGATGACAATAACAATAATAGTTATATTGTCCACAAAAATATACTCAAAACAGAAGTATCATCTCAAAAGATAGACATTATTATATACTTCTACATAAGTTGAAAATGTCTTTTAAGCTATAAAAATCACAACAATAATGACGTGAATTTTACTTTAATTTCACCCTAAGTTACATAATCAATACCCGACTGAAAAGAGTATTTAACTTAATGGAAAACGTATATTTAAATCTAAATATAAATAATTGATCAAATTAATTTTTATGTCAACTACATGTGACAAGTAAATTACGTAGAATCACGTAATTTACATAAAAACACAATTTATAATCTTGATTATAATTTTTTTAGGAAGAAAAAAAAAATTATTAAATTTTCACCTGAAATTAATAAAATTATTGTTTGGAAAGTTTCTCTTAACTTTAAATGTTGCGTATATAATTGGGGTTGTCACTTTAAATGGAGGTGGAAATTTAATTAGAAATTATAATAATTTTGAATTTAGTTGAAATGACCTAGAAAATTAATTTGAAATGTAAACTAATTAAGAAATTAAATTGACCTGACATAAACTGTGGACAAATTTATTTGAAAACAAATTTATTTAATTCAAAATTCAAAATGTTACGTAATTAAATTAATCTTGATAACAATTTTGTTACAATTATATGATTATGACCTTGAATTTTTTGAAGAAGAATGGAAATTTTCAACTTTAAACGATGAAAACATATTTGGAGGTATGTAACAACGAAAATATATCATAGATAAGTTGGATTAAATTATAATAAATTAATTAATAAAGCTTTACTTATTAAAGCTTACAAAGTTCAAAGTTTTTTTTTTTACAAGTCATTAGATATTATTTTTTGTAAGTTATTGGTTGATGCTGTCAAAGGCGTAACAAATCAAAGCAAATATATATTCTCAGAAGTAAAAAGCTGCCACTGACAAATACGTTCTGCTGTCTGGAGGGGTGATCTCTTATTGAGCAGCTGTATTATCAATGTAGCAGATACGCCCCAAAAGTCCCTATCGTATCCGATATGCCGATATACACAACTAACCTATCGTATCCTTGGTAATGATGGTTTTTGATAGCGCCATGGATTTGGAACAGGTATAATTGCACTTACCGAACGTGAATAACGTAGTTCTTAATCAAGCTGTGGTGGATGTCCTGCGAGGGAGCCCATGACAAGTTCACCGAACGCGACGTGAAGCTCATGATGAGTGGTCTACCCGGAGGATCTGGTACACCTGAAAAATAGATACAACTATGGTCAAGTTACATCAAACATAGTTTAAGTTTGATATAATAATTTGAACGTCGAGTTCAGCACGAAACTGTGTCACCACTCAATACAATGAGTATACGTTACGCTACAAAGGAGTATTTTCCTTTATAACTTTGTTTCTTTACTAAGAGCACACACAAATACAAACAAGTTATTTTCCATTGATATCACGTATAAAATGATTCCAAGAAACCACACAATATATGATATGATAAAAATGTAATTAAACATTAAGTTATAACATTTATAGTCATATTAAAATTAAATTTTAAGATTAGTAAATTAAAGAATTAATTAAAATAATTATCATATATATTTATACTTGAGAATATTTTTTTTGGAAGTAATAAGAAGTTTAACATTTCTTGTTAATGTAGTCTTGTGTTCCTCTCAACGTGAGACGAGGCACAAACTGAATTTTCTTTGAAGTACCGTGCGCTACGTCATAAAACATTCAAAAACATTCGCTAACAATGTTTGTTCGTGCGCGTTTTCACGCCTTCACTGAACATTTATGATGTATCAAACGATCACAAATGTTTGAATATATTTTACGTGGTTGTTGGATCTATATTAAAGCCACTACATTTATGCATAGAAATTTACTGACTTCCTACATTAGGCGTTATTACTGAATTTTATTAATGATAAGATCGTAAATGATGAATCACAAAAATATCTACACAAACTTCTCTTAACACGGTATGAATTCATATAACACGGTAAAATTTGATATAGATCTAAAATGACAAATAGTAAAAGTAGTTCTAATAATTTAGATTCCTCAAACACTGGGAAATGCATCCAAACTTCTCTTAACACGGTATAAATTAATATAACGTGCAATTGGATATAGATCAATTATACATATTAGCGAATGATATTAGATTAACTAAATCTGCAATTATCATACATAATTTTCCATGAATAATCAGATACATCTAGGTTGTTAATCGCGCATAATAGTGAAGCAACTACCGTTTTATACAAGGAATACCTGCACTCTATTTAGAATGTAGTTAGATTTAAAGTTATTCAGCATAGTAACAAATTTGGAATAAAAGTGTTTAGGATTACCTTGGACGATGAGCCTGACCAAAGCTTCGGCCTTTGGGCGATTGTTGACGAGGCATACGTAATCACCGCTGTCTTCGGCAGCAATAGGATGGAAGTCCAGACCATACGTGTCCCTCAACAAGGAGATCCTGTCTTGATCTGCCCACACCGTGATCGTATCGCTTGCGAATTCAATTAATTTTTGGTTATTGCTAACCGAGAACCATTCTAATGCTAACACCAGAGACTGCTCGTTGACACCAGGACAAGAAACAGTGATGTTATCTCCGGCTTGCAGCAGCATGCTCTCCACTGGCAACGATGTGATATCTGCAAAAACATCACCTAATGACAAACGGTAACAATAATCGCTCGATCAATATCTGAATATCTACACCACTGCACCCCATAAATTAATCGAGTTTCATTTACACAGATCTTCTGATAACTTAATCCTTCCACCATCTTAACACATTTATATTAACACCTAATTTACACAATTAATACTACTATCATACATTATAAGATACATCGAAAAATTGCGATTTAAAAAAACACAAATCTTGTAAAAACGCAAAAGAAACTGTGAATCTTCAAAACTACTATAAATAAGAAACAATGGCACATATGAATTTAGAAAGATATAGAATTGACATCGTATCTTGTAACATAAAGTTATACCATTATATAATTTGCATTAATATCTTACTTTGGATGATTCATGAAAGATTGTATAGAAAATGACACATTGTAAATAAAATAATGGAAAATAGATAATACATTGATTGAAAGTATCAGTTTAACTTTTAATCAGTTACTCACGCGGCGTCTATGAGGCGCCAGTGGGTACAAAAAGTTTTTGATCCAGAAAAATTAACAATGGAAACAATTTTTTTTTTATTATTTACTCAGCAATCTATCTACAAAAAAAGAAAAACAGATAACATACTCTAGTTCAGGGCATAATAGTGAGAAAAATTAAAAAATATATATTGAAGATTGATCCAGCGACCAAACTGCACAGAGTGCTTATTAAAGAAAAATTCACGAACACATACACGCAAACAAGTCTTATTGTCAATTTAGACACAACTTTAAAAGCGATTAGGAAACAATGACAATCAGAAACAAACGATGGTAGCGATGATGAAGATATATTTTTTTTACATTATTATAAAATCAAATCAATGTTATATTAATATAAATTGATGACTAACGTTATTTTTAACGGAATTTCTCAGACACTACGCGAGTAACGAGTTACGAAATGTCGCTTTAGTAATAAAGCGTTAATGAAATAAGATTAATAATTAAAAATCATTGATTTTATAAGACAAACTATTGTGTTTATCCGTGTTAAAAGAATAAATTGTTTAAAAAGAAAATAAAAATGAGCAGTTTTATTTTTGAAAAATGTTGTTTTAAAACCATTCTAAATGAGAATCAGATATTATAAGAAACGTGATTCGAAAGAAATGGACTACCATGGGAAGTATATAGCTGTTAAAATGTATTCATTCGAGTCCATAGTATAGATAGGTGGTTGTAGATGCAACGCTTTTGGATTCGTTTATCCGCGGGTTGTGCTGGAGTGGTGGTAATTCCGCCACAATCCACCGCTTTCACCTATTTCAGTGTTCACTGTTTCACTAAGTCCCTTTCCCATTTGTCTCCATAATATATGGCCCTAGCTGTTACCAAATGAAAAAAAAAGAAGATATATATATATAAGTATATATAGGTTTGTATGTATAGATCTATATATAATACATAAATTTTAACATCACAATAAGTCCAAGAACAAAATTTCATATTGCAATAGAGACATTCGGCGTTTAATCAATATTTAACTGGGCAGTTGAATGCACCTATAGTATTCTAGAAATATATAATAGAAATTTTTTCATGAACATGATATCATTTTACTCGCTATGTGCAAATTATATAACGGCAGTGAAAGACATAATGTTACAAGATACAGTGTCATGTTTACTAGAGGCACATTGTATTAAAAGTGACAAAAAAACAAATGATTTGCGACATTTTGCATAATATTTGCTGGTTGACTTACTTCCTGTAGAACTGATAAGATGTCAAGATTCACAATGTAATAATAACTAATGGAATTGTGTCAAATATTTCGTTTGTGTTCATCAATTGCCGCCCGAATCGTGTTCCTCGGCCGACGGCAAATGATTCCGTCGTGTTGAAAAGGGCCGAAGGAAAGCTTCTAGATATTAATTACATATTGCCATTTCTGAGCAGCTAATCAATCGTTCGATGCTACCAAATTTTTCTTAATATATTAATTATAGAAAGAATGTCTTACATTATAGAAATAAAAACAAAAAAAAAACAAATGATTTTCTATTTTGATTCTTTTATTAAATTGACCTAAAGATCATATGAATAAGATGACATTAAATTACTTACCAGATCGTCGCAGGTTCTGAGCAACCACCGTGAAGACGAAAGTGATCAACAAATATAACTGCTTCATATTAAGTAGCACAACACTCGACACTAGACTATTAGAAATTTGCATGCTGTGCAAGATCTAATCGTTTATGTTTAAAGATTTTACATCATAGTTTTCTTAAGATAAAAAACAAATTGAATGTTTAAATACTGTGAGACCTTTGAAGAACGCGATCGCGCGTGCTTTGTCCTTCTGATCGTCTATCCACCGATGAAACTTGACTAGCCGTGTTCGCGGCCGTCGTATGACCAGGGTACGAAACTAAATCACATAGCCTAAGGCTTTTTGCCGCCCCCGAACGCGTTCTCCCTTCCAACAAAACTGCAGGCGTGCGCCCTGAGCTTCGAGCTTTCGCGCACCCTCACCAAGGGTCGGTCCTACACGGTACTACGCGGCCCTTCGTTGAGATCTATGACCCGCCTTCAGGAATGCATATTCTTCTTGCAACCCAAGTCCTGAAAATCATCGACATTCGATTACTTTGATTTCACTGATGCTCCAAGCCTACTCAGGCAGTACAATAGATCAACAGTTCGTTAAACTTTAACACGCACTTTAACAGAGAAGAGCAACAATGACGATACTTTAACATTGATGATTTACTAGATGCATTTAACTTTTTCATATTCCTATTTGAATATATGCATCTATATGCATCTATTATACATTGTAAAGCACTGGCTACAAAGTTCTATCTTTTTATTGATGCGGCCTGAGAATACGGCGAGGCGAGCGCAAGAGCGCGATTGCATCAGTATGATTTATATTAACGATCTGTCCAATTTAATAGCTCCCAGCATGCTCATCTGTGTTTCTCAAATGCTTTGAAACGGCGGCTGTTGGGCAGAAGGTGGCGGCAGTCTGATTGCAGTGATTGCCACCGGTTAGAGAATTGTAGGGAGCTCAAGTTACGTGAAATAGGAAGACCCATCATAGTTTGAACTACCCCTAGTTGAAAACATCACTATTCTACTTATTATAATAACCAATCTACAGTTGAAGACATTAATATGTCACCCTTTAAAAAGGTAGTAACTATTAGTGTCTTTTGATTATTAATATACTAGAAGTACTAGACTAAATTAAGTAGTTCGAAGTAATTCTAATTGAAAACATGAATGTTTTACCCATGAATAATCTATAATTAATCCACATTATTTCTAAAAAAAGTAGTTCCAACTACTTATAATTGAAGACATTAGTATTTTACCAAACATTAAACTATAACTAATCAAAAATAATCTTAAAAAAACATTTCTAACTAGTTCTACTTGAAGACATGAGAATATTTTAACGTCTATAACAAATCGAAAATACTTCTATAAAAGTGGTTCCAAGTAATTATAATTGAAGACATAAGTATTTTACCAATGAATTAACTAGAACTAATCTACAATACTGGAAAAAAAGTAGTTCGAACTACTTTTAATTGAAGATATGATTATTTTACCGAATAATAAACTATAACTAATCAATAATACTAAAATTAGTTCAAACTAACTCTACTTAAAGACATGACTATTTTACCAATTAATAAACTATAGTAGTTAAAACTAGTTCTAACTGTAATACAAGTATTTTAAGCAATAAAATGTCAATCATCAATTCTTCTAAAAAAAAAGTAGTTCAAGCTGTGACATCTCTAAGATAACTTTTTTAAATAGGCGTTATATCAAAATGTTGATTGTGCCAATCAATTGCAGACGTTTCATTAAATTGAAGAAATCTCATTAAAAATCGTTCGAAGGTTCTTCTTGGAAGGAAAGTTTTCCCGAAGTGAATATTGAGTTCGCAAAGCATTTTATCAAGAATAATTGTAGAATATGTCTAACCAAAACAATTATGTTAACTAAACGTTGAGTGCATGCGTAGTAAGGGTAAGGGGTGGCAAGTAACGAGGTTTGGTCGGCTTAACGTTGAGATATAGGTGGTATTTATTTCATGCCAGTTATATTTCTGCTGCCGGGGACGGCCCCAAGCGTATCCTAATAGGCTATACGGCCTGCTGCATAAATCATATCTTCTGCCTTCACGCTTTGCACAAATATAATATAATTTAATTTGGTAATCTCTACCGTTTTGTATTCTAACCAACCAAAATTTTTCTAGATCTAACGTAATCTAGTATAAAAAATAGCTTATCCACTTGTCTGATACACTTATCTTCTAGATTATACATATTATTGTATAATCCAAACACAGGTATTAACAATATTTAAAATAACAATTGATATGATACTAAGAAAAAAAAACTTTTAATCAAATCTACAGGTATTATATTTCCATTAATAGAATTCATATTTTATCATTTTATAATTAATATAAAAATGTATATATATAATTCCAATAAAAAAAAACATATTTCCATATTTTAATTAAACTTTTTTTCAATATTTTTTTTTAAAACAATTTTATTAGTTTTTGTTTAAATAAAATGTAATAAAAATTTAATTGTATTTTTTTTTGTATTATAAAATTGAATATATTTCAAGCTTTATATAACAATCAAAGTTTTTTCAATAAACCAAAATCTCATAATTCTTCTTTAAGAATGTGTACATGGGTAAAACACATATGGACAATACAAAGCCTTGTCTGAAATAAGATGTAGAAACTTGTTTTAATATAATAAGTTCGTCCATGTCTGATCTAAGTATTGGATAAGTACGTATATAAATACATCAGATAGTGCGGATCAAATATAGTACGGTTTGAAAATTTCAAAACAAATTGAAAATAAATAGTATATAATAATAATTTTTAAAAACTTAATTGAAAAAGTATTTTTTCATGAAAATTATAATGCATTTACACAAATTTCCAATATTTATACTCAATAGAAAAAAAAGCTCCAAATATATTTGTGTAATTGTTTTTTTTTTATTAACAAATTTTTAGTTAATATATTTTATTCTATTGAAAACAAATTTTCAATTCTACTTTTTAACAAAACTTCAATTGTTACAATTTCATTACACTCTTATCGATAAAACTATTATTATCATCCAAACGCTCGAAGGTTTAATATGTCATTAGATTTTATCTGCGACGTAATGCATTATATAAGTTCACTTCTATTGATACTCGGTATATTCCAATCTTGTTCTAACAATGCAAATGAGATGATTCATTTGAGATGTTGTTTCCTTATCGTGCCACGAATATAAAATAGGTGATCTAATTTTTTTTCTCTTTTGGTAGTCATTATGACAGAGACAAATATCGGCAAGTAGAGCAACTGAAATGTGATGCAACGTCGAATAAAATTGGTTCTGCACAGCGGTGACATAACTCAACTATCGCCATCTACCAGCAAAGGCACGTAAACGCCGTTTGTCAGGAGAATTATATAAGAGTATTAGCTGAATATTTAATCAATACTCAACGTAAGATGGTAGTAACAAGAAAAAGAAAAGGTAAAAAAAAGTATTCAAATAATTTAATCTCATTTTTTTGAAACGAACATTATAATTATTTAAATTAATTAATAAATAAAACTATTTTTTTGATTTAGAATTATTCGGACCCTTACATCGCTCAGGATTTTTTGTAAGAAGCAAAGCATGGCTTAAGAAAATTTCAATTTTGGGACATAAAGCAAGTGTTTGTTTGGAGACACAAACAAATTTTTATTTGAATTGATTTGAAAAAGAGAAGCCCTAGATACCAGTGAGTTTTACTATTTGAGGGCACTAAACAAATTTTTATTGGGACTCCCATTCAAATCTGTTATAACCAATAGAAATTACTATCAGTTTCAACAAAATTATTTGTAAAAAATAATAAATATTAACGTAAACTCTTGTTACGCCACTGATTATTTACATATTATTCCCGCTCTGATTCGCAGCTGTGTATATTCATCCACATTGCTCTCCTAATCTCCTGTTACGTAACAAGGAGAATGCATAACATAAAATAGATTTGCACGTGGTATATATAAACTTAGTAGTTTCAGCTCACAGTTTCCTATGGAGAAGGTCTCTTGAATAATGAATTAATTGCTAATTTACTTTGAACGCTCTCCAAGAGATGTTTTTCACAAGTATTATTGGTTACGATTTGAAATTTTGCTTATACCAACAGAAATTACAGCACTGTCCCTTGGTGATACCTTCAGAGTACTAGGAGAACACAAAGCTGAAATAGGTATTACCTCATTAAGGTTACAAATAACTCTTCCAACTTTTGCTTTCCAAGTAGTTGTGGTTCCTAAACAGTTTTCTCTCGTCGAACGTTTGACAACAATGCACAGACAGTATTGATTTTATATGTAAATGAGTTCAACAAATTTTCTTTTCTTTTTCATAAATTAAATTGATTATTAAATATTAATATTATAACATACAAAAAAATAAGTTTAATTATATAAGTTTATAAAAAAAATCTATAATCCACACTTCAAGAGGGATGTACCATGCTTTTACAGTTGTTTATGTTACATAAATAAAATATATTTACTTTATATAATTTAATTACAATCATTACTTCTTCATTATTTACTTCTTAATATAATATTAAAATTTGTGAAATGTCTACACACACGTTGGAATTTATTATATAAGTTTTATTGAATGAAATTAATTTTGTTTACCTGTTTTGAAACTGCAACAGACTCACATCACAATCTGATTAACAAGAAAACAGGAATTGGTTGTAACAATTGTTTTTTTAAAACCATAAATTCTTCATATTCTGATTAACTTATATGTGTGAAACATGCAACAATTATACAAAATTTCATTAACAATCAAATTTCCAAAGTAAACTAATAAACTTTAAAGATTTCTGTCACAGATATTCTATTTAAATATTCAAATATTCAAATATTGAAATTGAAAATCTGTTAAATATTCACTTCATCATAAAAGAAAAACAAAATGTGAAACAAGTGAAAGAAACTGTTAGATTTCCTAGTTTCCCAGTTCACAAGCAGCGTGTTTCTAACAATGCGTTAAAGTTTCAATTTTTTTTTTCTTACAAACCTATTCAATTTGGGACACAAAACCTCCATAATTTAATAAAGAATATTTATGCTTATACTTTTGCATATTTCTTTAAGTTTTATGGTATAATTTATAATTTTCTGAAGATGCGTTTATAAAGTTTGACAGTTTCTGTCATGAATTATTGATTTATGTATGTGTCAGAATAGTTGCTTATTAAATAAATATATTTACGTTTTGGCCATACCTCAAGAAAAATCGCCGGTATTTCAATTCTTATTTGCAACTTACGATATTTTTTGCCCCTGTGCTACTAAGAAAAATGCACCCTTCTTCATAAAAATACTTAGAAGGGGAAGCAAAATTGATTTTATTGTTAGTTCTTTACAAAATACAAACACTAATTAAATAAACACGATTAATAATTAATATCCAATCATATATTGAGGAACGATACATTCTTTATGTGACTTAAGTAAACAAATTAATTCAAATGAGTATGTTATACGATACAATTGAAAAAATATTTCTTGTCACATTTGAATTATCTTCCATTTCTAATTAGAAATCACTTATATTCATAGTATTTCTAATTATTTTCTGTTAAAAATATATTTTTAGATTTGATCTTAGAAATGCAAAAAATATGTTCAATTATTGGATTTATACCAACTATTAAAGTTTCG